AGTGATTAAGATATTCTGTTTGTCTAAACAAAACAGACTATCTGGGCAGAACATTCTAAGAATGAACAAGATGAAAAGTAAAAGCATGGTAGCAATGCAAAAATATATCACCAATCAATGAATACATTAAAAACGACCTAATAGGGGTGCCTGGGTGGCTCAGTCGGTTAAGCGTCTGCCTTCGGCTCAGATCATGATCTCAGGGTCCTGGGATCAAGCCCCACGTGAGGCTCCTTGATCAGCAGAGAGTCTGCTTCTCCCTCTGCCTCTTACCCCTGCTCATGCCTGTTCACTCCCTCTCTCTAATAAATAAATAAAATCTTTTAAAAAAAATAAATAAAATAAAAATGACCTAATAATAAAATTTCTATATAAAACTGAAAGATTCTATACAAATGACAATGAATCCTAAGAGAATGTGACAAAAAAAAAATACCCCAAGATTATCTTCTTCTAATGAACAACCTAACAAAAATATAACTCAAACACACAAAAAAATAAGATAAAGAGAGAAGTTGAAGACCTAAATAAAGAACAAAACATAATCATTAGAGACGAATAAATTACAAAGATTGGGCATTATAAACAAAATGAAACACTAAAAATTTAATTACTGATGGCTAGAGATCAAAGAAAGCACAAAAAGAAATAACTGATAGATACAAAAGACAAAAAGGCATATCTGACATAGATTGTGTTGCTAACTAAAGAAAAAGAAAATAAAATTGAAAAAATATTTCAGGAGTACCTGGGTGGCTCAGTCAGTTAAGTGTCTGCCTTCGGCTCAGGTCATGATCTTGGGGGTCCTGGGATTAAGCCCCACATCAGATTCCCTGCTCAATGGGGAGTCCGCTCCTCCCTCTCTCTGTGCCTCTCCCCCCCCAACTCATGTTCTCTCTTGCTAGCTCCGCTCTCTCTCTAATAAGTAAATTTTTAAAAATCTTTAAAAAAAGAAAAAATATTTCAAAATATAATTTCAAGAACTGAAGGAAAAATGTGAATTTGCAGATAATAACAAAAGACCATGTTCCAGGAAAATGTGATAAATGATGTTCAATATTGAGCTATACTGCTGTTACAGAGATGAACTTCATGGGCAAATAAAGAAATCTCAGACACAATAGAAGCAAATAGTCGACTGAGGGCTAATATCAGACTGGCCTCAAACTTCTCTGAAAGAACATTTGAAGCCAGAAGACAAAGAAGGAATGTCTACAAAATTCTAAAGGAATGCAAGTGTTAGCCAAGAATATTAAACTCATCAGGATGTCATTCAAATATAAAGACAGAAGGCAAATGTTCTTAAACATGAAAAAACTTTCATTGTACAGCACACATGAACCCTTGTGTGGGAAAAAATGATGAAACCTAAGCCAATTAAGAATTGAGTCTAAAGAAGGAGCCTAGGGCCGCCTGGGTGGCTCAAGTTGGTTAAGCGTCTGCCTTCAGCTCAGGTCATGATCCCAGAGTCCTGGGATCAAGCCCCACATCGGGGTCTCTGCTCAGTGGGAGCCTGGTTCTCCCTCTGCCTGCCGCTCCCCCTGCTTGTATTCTCTCTCTCTGTCAAATAAATAAATAAAATCTTTAATAAAAATAAAGAAGGAACCTAGAATTAATAAACTATGACTAATAAAAGGGGGGTAATGAATCCATTTAAATATTTTCAATCACTCAAGTACTATCAGTGATTGTAAAACATGAATGTTATATATTTAGACAATATGAAAATTAAAGTATAACTTTAAAAATTGGGAAGTGAAGAGAAAAAAATGAAAAAAAAAAATAAGATGACTAATGTCCTCAGCCTTCATAACAGGTTACAAATTGAAATATGCAATTTAAAATACAATGACATGAATAAAGCTCTTATTTAAAAAAATAAGCCACTGACCACGTAATTTTATCATAATTTACTAACCTCCTATTCTTTGAGAAAATACTGGTTTTTGTTTTGTTTTGTCACAGAGACTTTTACTTCTGTTTTTCCTCAGTTTTACCTGTTAGGAGTTTACATACAATGCTGCAATGAAGAGCCTTCTTTGTATATCCTTATATACTAGTACTTTTTATTTCCAAAAAATATACTGACAGAATAGGAATATTGAGTAAATGAGTATTTGTGTGTATCTATATAATTATCAAAATACATATGGCCCAACACTTAAAATGTACATTTCCACTAAAAATATAAAAAAATACCACTGCCCATCTCCTCTATCTTCTTCAGGAGTACATCACTCTATTTACTTATCATTCTACTTTATCCCAATCTGAGAATAGAGAAGTGAAAGATCATGATTTCTGAAATCTGCATTTCCTTGAATATTTGTGTTTTTGATTATCATTTTATATCTTACTGCTTACTTACATTCTTCAGTGAAATTCCTATTCAAATCCTCTGAATATATGTCTTTGGGTTTTTTGATCCTTTCACAAAAATTATTAATATAGTGAACATATTAATTTATCAGTCTTTCAGATTCTATTATGTCTTCACATTTGTTGATATCTTTCCTCAGCTTAATGTTATGTGTAGTAACAGCTATTTACTTTTATAGTTTCTAATAGAAGTGCCTGTCTTGGTTAGAAATTTCCCTCATATGCCTTAGTTCCACTTTTATAGTTTTCTAAATATTTTCCTAAAATATATACTATGTCATCTTTCATCCCTTTTTCCTTATTCCATAGGGAAGATTTTTTTTGGATATGCTGTCTTTTATAGTATTAATTAGTACTGTATATCTGGAAAGGCAAGTACATCTTCAATATTCTTTTTTCATAAATCTTAGGGCTATATAAAAGCATTTATTTTCCCATTTTATCTGGATATTTGGATATCTGAATATATAATTTGTAAGTATTTAATATTTGGACATTTTTAAAGGGATACTTAAGTGTCAAATTACTCCACTGTTTTTTTTAATGAATGGTATATACTAATGGATATTGCACTGAATTTATTTATGTGAGAAAAACTGACATTTTTATGACATTAAAATTACCTCATTTTGACTATAAAGGGTATTATGGAGAAAACTGAGAAAACATGAGTAAGGTCTGTAGATTAAATAATAACCAATGTAATATTAGTTATAACCAATGTTAATTTTCTGATTTAATAACTGTGTAGAATATACAGGACTGTACAGAATTAAAACACAGAACAGGCATAGGAAATTTTCACTGAAGAAATTAAAAAGAGAAGATCGCTATGACTTCAGCTTGCTCTCAAATTCAGAAAAACATAAAAAGAGGGAGAAAAGTAAATATAATAAAACTAAGAATCACAGAATCTAGGAGAAGGGTAAACAAGAATTCTTGTGTTACTCTTAACAACCTTTCTATAAGTATCAATTTATTTCTGATTGATTCTGTCTGTCCCCCCTCTCATACATACACACACAGAGCAACATATACAATCCAGCACAGAATGACTTTCCAGTAGCTTATATTTTGTTTTGTATTAAGCTTTATATAGTTTTGTTCCAAACAGTATCCGTGCATTCTTATAGAATTTGACCCAAAATAGTATTTTTGTCTTAACTGTAAACAGACTGTATTACTGATTTCCATTCTTAGTGACTACTGCTTGCTAGTCATCAAACAAACGATATTATTTTTTTGCATATTTATCTTATATCCAATAATTTTACCGAAGTCCCTATTAATTCTGGTAGAAAAATGTTCAAGAATTTCTTAGATTTTCCTACCCCATAGCATTAGAAATCTAAAATTATTATTTCTTCTTTTCTAGCATTTACATTAACTATATTCACCTTTACAAAAACATCAAAAAATGTTATATAACGGTGATAGTAGGGATCACTCTTCTTTTTTTAAAAAAAATGGCTTTCACCATTTAAAATGTTCAGTAAAGTCTTTATCATATTCAAACTATTACATACATTAGGCTGGTTGCTAAAATTTATCATATGCTTCTTTCTACATTTATTGATACCTTCACATGATTTTTCTATTTTTAATTTGTTGATATAATTTATTTTGTAGGTAAGTATCTTAACATTAAACCATCTCTGGATTCCATGAGTAAATTCTAAGTGGACACACTATATAATTCTTTCATTGTATTGTTAAATTGTTGGTCAAGTTTTAGTTAGAATTTTGTACCCATATTCTTAAATGAAATTGGTCCTCTAGAGTTTACTTTTCCAGTATCTTTTTCATGTTGTGACAGCTATATAAAATGTCCTGGGAGTGCATCTTTTTTAATGCACTGGAAGAATATCAGCAACATTTGAATTATCTGCTTTTAACATTTTCTAAAGAACCCAGATGGTACTTTTAAATTTTTTTTTCTAATTCTTAGCAAATGTTCTTGTCAAATTTTCTACTTCACTTCAGTTGTGAATATTGATAATTTATATACCCACAGCACCATTAATTTCCTCTGAATTCATATTCGTTACACATGTTCATACACAACTGCCAAGATAGGCAAGTGGTCCCATGATGGGTCTGTCACTTGTTCTCCCTGTGAGGACTCAAAAAGAAAGCTGTGTGCTCCCTCATTTCCTCAGCTACAAATATTAGCATGGTCTCATACCTCAAAGGAAAAAAGACTTCATGCCTCTGTGTTTCAGCTTCTCCCTAGAACCTGTAAGATCTTGTCTCTACAAAGCAATTTCCATTTCTGCTTGGTTGTCATTTCTGGTTAATTAGCTCTGCCTTTCCCAGAGAGGGCAGAAGTCCTTCACTAACTCACATTATAGCAAAACTACCAGAGCCAAACCCACTTACATGGTTAAGATCAGGTCAACCAAACACAGAAGCTGCCATGGAGCAACTTGTAGATAAAATGGAGTTGAGAAGAGAGGGCTACAGAGACCTGTACTATCGTCCCAGAATCCCCCATGACTCTCAAAAATTCATATTTAATTTTGTGATGATATATATTTGCTGAGACCATTTTACCTATGCAGTTTCCCACAATTACCATTAAAAATGGCAATTTCCTCACATCTACCACATGTTTAACCTACCTCAAATTCTGCATGTCTGTGAATATCCTCTGCTCGTTGCCTGCTCAGGATAAATTCAGCTTCATTTGCTACTCTTACTAGATGATCCTTCATTGTTTGGCTAAGCAACCTGTAAAGAGATGAATACTGTCAAATAAATAAATGTACACACACACAATATATATAATTAATCAATGCTCAAAGCCAATGTATCTTGTTATTTGGGGCAGGAAAGGATGTTTACTCCATCTTACCCAATGAAGTGCCATTATGTCACACTAAATAATTAAAGGATATAATAGCAAAAAATTATCCTCCTGGCAAGAGCAGATTAGCTTTTATCCAACTAGCTATCCAAGGAAAACAACTAAAACTGCTGGATTAAATTTGTGTTTTAATCTTTTTTAAGGTACTGGAGAGTTTACAAGGCAGCCACGATTTAAGGAGCTAAGATCCTAGAGAAGAAAGCACACAGATGACATTCAGCATGACTTTTTCATTGAACCATTTACTTTTTACAGGTGGAAATAGAGAAGCTAAACAGAGAGCTTTACAGAGCTAGGGAGACAAAAATTGAATGTTATAAGCTGTCAAGGTAGAGGGATCCTAGATTACCCAGGCTTACAAAAGGAACCCAAGTATACCCTAAGAAAGAGTATAGACCAGTCCTCAAAGACACTAAAACAGACTCTCAAACAACATTATAGTGATCTTCACTTAGATTATGAGGAAGCCAAAAAGCTAAACAAAAATTTCAAAATCTCACAAGGTAAGGAGAAAAGAAATAGACATACCAACACAGGAAAACTATATTCCAGGCAAACTGGAAACAGCAAACTCTCACAAAAATTTTAAAAAACTCCAGCCTTGAATCACCTCAGTCCTAAATTAACATAATCAGCACCTAGACTAACTGGTAGTCAGAAATCAAAAGGAAATCCCTAGAGGAAGATCTCATCACCTAGAGACTTACATTTACCCCTGTAATTTTAAATATAATTTCCAACAGTCAATCACCAATTAATAGGAATAAAAAGAAACAACAATAAAAGAATGAAAACCAAATAGAAGACAACTCAGACAATCGAGATAGTGAAGTTTCATATCTGAACACTGAAATAAATGTAGTTATGGTTCAGGACAACAGATTCTAAGAAAAAGAATTCCAGTAGAGATTGGAAACTGTTAAACCACTGAACAAAACAAATATGAAATTAAGAATAGATTTACCAGCTTATTAAACTCATAAAGAAGAACTTAACTGAAAAATAGGTCAATGACAACTAAACAGAACCATGGTAAGAAAAATGATGAAAACCTGACCAAATAACAGACATATGGAAGATGGTAAAAAGGTCTAACAGGTGTGTATCAAGAGTAAGGAAAAAAGACAAATAATTCGAAAAGAGCAATAATTGAAGAGATAATGGGAAATATTTTTTGAAAATTGAGGGAAAAAGCCATTGAGCCATACGTTGAAGTGCTACAAACTCCACGCAGGATCAAAGAATACCACACCTAGTCATGTCATAATAAAACTGTCAAAGGAAAAAAATCTTAGCCAGAGGGAGGGAGAAAGTGGAAGAGGTAAGGGCACTTACATGCTTTCAAAAGAGCAAGAATAAGACTGATGGAAGCCATGTAAGAATGCAATGACCCCTATCAAGTGCTAAACAAAAAGAGCAGCTAATTAAGAATTCTATGCCCCCAAAACACCTTTTAAAGATAAAAGTGAAAGTATCCAAAATATAACACTATGAAGAGTCTTTTTTCCAAACTCCCTCAACTGCCTAGAAGCACAGTCTCCCAAAACAATTCATCTGTTGCAAGTCCGCTCCACTGAAGTTTCACAATCAGGAAAGAATGACTCCTATTACCTAGAGACTTAGCAGTCAGCACCTGGATAGGAAATTGTCTAAAGGGACACTGTCACAAAACTATCTTATCTCCCATATATTCTCCTAAGGGTTCATTTATCTTTCCTTAAAGTCATTTGTTTTCCCCTAAGTGCCCTCACCTATTAAGATAGTATAAAGCCTCAAAATTTAACCTCTTTCTTGAGTCACATTTTTCTATGAATTCTCTTAAACATCCATCAATTTTATTTTTTTTTTAAAGATTTTATTTATTCATTTGACAGACAGCGAGAGAGGGAACACAAGCAGGGGGAGTGGGAGAGGGAGAAGTAGCCTCCCTTCTGAGCAGGGAGCCCAATACAGGGCTCGATCCCAAGACCCTGAGATCATGACCTGAGCCAAAGGCAGATGCTTAACGACTGAGCCACCCAGGCCACCCCAAACATGCATGAATTTTAAAAAATGTCTTTTCTCTTGCCAGTCTCTCTTTTGTCAATTTGATGCACTGGCCCCCAAAGAAAGAAAATAAGAGGATAGAGGAAAAATTTTTCACCTTAGGCAAAAGCAAAATAAGCACATTTAACGACAAACAAAACAGAGAAATTGTCAATAGACAAACCACATTAAAGGGAGTTTTTCAGGGGCGCCTGGGTGGCTCAGTCAGTTAAGCACCTGCTTCGGCTCAGGTCATGATCCCACGGTCCTGGGATCAAGCTCCGCATTGGGCTCCCTGATCAGCGGGGAGTCTGCCTCTCCCTCTACTCCTCCCTCCTGCTCATGATCTCTCTCTCTCTCACTCTCTTCAAATTATTTTTTTTTAAAAGGGAAGTTTTTCAGACAAGTAAAATAGTATCAGATTGATTTAACACAAGGAGGTAGAAAATAAAAGAAAAAGTCAACATGGGTAATCTAAAAGAATACTGAATGTTTGTAACCATTATAATAATGACTTCTAAAATTCAAAAATATCATAATGTTAAAATATATAATAGCAATCAAAGCAAAAGAAATTAGTGTTGTAATGTTCTTTCACGTCCATGAACTGGTGAAAGAACCAATTTATTTAAGATGTTATCAACTCTAATATTCATGTTTCAATCCCGAGGCAACCACAAAAGGTATCTAAAATAATGTATAACCAATACACCAATAGAAAAAAAAAAACAACTGAATAACAAAAATCATTTAGCTTAAATGAAAGGAAAAAAAAGAAACATACAAAACATGGAACTAAAAAGGACACAGATAACAAGAAGTTAAGTTTTAACCTAAATACATCAGAAATATATAGAAAGCAAACAAATTTAATGATACAATTACCATCACGTACATTTTTTTTTAAGTATGTGCTGTTTAAACATAACACAGTTTCAATATAAGGTTGCATAAATGTTGAAAGTCATTTTTCAAAAAGATAAACAATTTAAAAAATAGTGAAAGAAGACTACTGTACCTTTATTAATGTAAGAAAAAGTTGGCTTTAAGAAACAAAATTAGAGATAAAGAAATAAGTACTTCAAATGATAAGGTGAATGAGTCAGAAAGATAGAAATTCAAAATTTTGAGACTCCACATTTTTATGTTCCTAAGAATATGACTTACAACTAGGTGTAGAAGATATAAAGCTATAGCATATTTTAACAGTGTGATTACAAACCTGATGAAATGAACACATATATCACATTTCACCCACTAAGTGAAAAATAAATATGCTTATCATGAAAACATGGATCATATACAAAACAGGCAAAATGTGGGGTCAAAAAGAAATCTATAATAAATTTCAAAGGAAGAAATCATACTCAGTACATTCTCTGACACAACAGAACTAAACTAAAAAAAAAAAAAATTCTGCACAAAGAAACTCTAGGATGGCCTCCAATTTTCCAAATTTCTGGTATCCTCAGCCTTATGTAATCGTCTCCCTGAAATTGTGGATAGGAGCTATGGCATGCCTCTAAGCAATAAAACATGCCAAAATTGAAGAAATATCATTTCCATCATTACATTAAATAAGATTCAAACTTCCATCTTACTAGCAGTCTCCCTCTATTCAATCTCAACCCTGATGGCTTAGCTAAAGAAACCTGGCATGTTATGAGCTGCCCTATGGAGAAGTCCACGTGGCAAGAAGCAGAGTACAGCCTTCAGACAACCACCAGGAAGGAACTGAGACTCAATCCCATCAACTCACAAAAAATTAAATCTTGCCAACAACCAGATGAAATTGGAAGCAAATACTTCCTCAGTCAAACATCAAATGACCCACAAACACCTTACCTACAGCCTTATAAGAGACCCTGAAGGAGAGGGGCCAGACAAGCCATGCCCTGAATCCTAACCAACAGAGACTATGAGATAATAGATGCATGTTTCTTTAAGGCCAGATTTTGGAAATATTGTTGACACAGTAATAACACTTGTGCCCAATCAGGAGCAAGATGGCGGAGGAGTAGGAGACCTGGATTTCATCTGGTCCCAGGAATTCAGCTGGATAGGGATCAAACCATTCTGAACACCTACAAACTCAACAGGAGATCGAAGAAAAGAACAGCAAAAATTCTCTGAACAGAAAAG